CGCCAATCTTATGCAAATGGCTGCAGAGCGCAGGCGTTGCCGATTTATACCCCCATCATCGTCGAATTCGATCGATTGCGGGATTGCAAGTATAGGATTTCCGCGATTGCGGGATTGCAGATAGGGATTTCGGCGATTGCGGGATTGCGGGTAGGGATTTCGGCGATTGCGAAGTGACTGCGGGATTGCGGGTAAGGATTTCGGCGATTGCGAGTGATTTCGGGCCAAATGTACACGTATTGCGGAAGGTGGTTTCCCCCTCGTCTGTGACCCTCCTTAAGGGAATTCTCTAACCTACCCAATTAAATAAAATTATATAATATAATATATATACAGGGTGTTTCAATAAAAACTCCCAGGCCAATTATTTCGAAAACTAAAAGTGACATTTAAATTCTGTAAACGTCAGTTTTTAGCCTCTATGATTGGCTTCACAACTGTGTGAAAAATGTTTTTGAATAATACAAGAGGTAGGTGGCGCCACAATGCAAAGAATTTTTTCGATGGCAGGTACCTTTAAATTAATTTTTGATCAAATTATGTCCCATACAAATTTTTGATAAATTCGACATGAACGGAGATATTTGGGGTTAAGTTTTTTTTAAATAATTTTAACGAGTATTTTAATTATAAATAATTTTAATATCCTTTAGCAGATGTTCATTTAATTTTGGTAATGATAATTTTAGTGAGCTAACTAAAGTCTATTCAAATCCAAGCTGGACTAAACAAAAACGCCCAGACGCGTGATAACTCGTTTCTATTGGTCGATTCTGATGGTGTGACTCGGATTGTGAGCTCTTATTGGTCGATTCGGAGGATTGTGTTTACATTTAGTCCAGCTTGGATTTGAATAGACTTTAGATTAAAATTATTACGTCCAGTGACGCCTCAGGGGGCCCCTTAACAAATAATATTAGCAAAAAATAATACGCCACTGAGTGTCTGGTAATTTTTATATATTTTTCGGATTATTCAACTAAAAATATCCTTTTTTGTCTGTTGAATTGTTTTCGTATCTTACTTCGTTTTCGAGAAATAAAAATAAAACCATTTCACTGCATATCTCTGGAAAACAATAATCATTAAATAAAAACAAATGAATTTTAGAAATATGAAGTAAATTTTTCTTTACTTAGTGTCAGTGTAAGAATATGCAATTTCTACATTTCTTAAATAAAAATGGTTCACCATACAAATCAAGACAAATTGAACATACATTATTTTAGTTTATGGAGAATGACAGACATCAAAATGCTTCAGAAGCTGTGCGCTGCTATCGAGAAAAACGCCAGATCGCAAATCTTTAGTAGCTTTGTGTACCAACTTAGCTACATATGGTAGCTTTAAAAAGGAAACGGTTCCAAGAAGGAAGAGGGATACGACTGACAAAAATGTAGCTTTAGTCCTCCAATCAGTAAAAAATAACCCACAATCGTCATTACGAAAATTAAAAGATGAAACTAATATTTCAATTATTAAAAGATGAAACCAATATTTCAGTAAGTTCCTAAAAGGAAATATGTTTTTTCCATACAAGGTCCATCTAGTGCATCATTTACAATAATGATATAACCAGCGCAGATTAAACTTTTTGACACATTTTCATATTCTTTTGGAAGAAAATCCAAATTTATTAAACCAAATTATTTGGTGTGACGAATCCCGGTTTCACAATAATGGAGTAATTAATAAACATAATTGTCGCTATTGGTCCCAGGAAAATCCTAACTGGATACGACTGGACTGGACTGGACACGATTTGGGGTAAATGTTTGGTGCGGTATTGTAAATGGTTACATAGTCGGGCCCTATTTGTACCATAAACATTTAACTTTAGTTCGTTATTTACAATTTCTGCAAAACGATCTCACTTTGCTGTTACAAAATTTGGGAATTGACGTAAAGACTATGTGGTTTCATCAAGACGTTGCCCCAGCACACAATAGCAATATCGTTATGAATCATCTAAATGACGTTTTCAGGAAAAGTGATCAGCACAAATGGGGATCTTAGATGGCCAGCAAGGTCCCCTGACTTTTATTTATGGGGCGGCTTATAAAATGAAGTCTACAAGGAACCAATAGAAGATATGGCTAGCCTGAACAACAAAATCTATGTTACTATAGCCGCTATTAATCAAAATACACTATTGAGAGTTTGCAGAACCGAATTATTATATCGATTTGATATGTGGGTATAAAAACGGCAATAATTTTGAACACCTCATTCGACCTTATTAGTTAGTTTTTGGTATTGTTCTAATTTTCTTTAATAATTTTTTATAATTTCTCACTCTTTCATAAAATTTAAAACATCCTTTAATTTTATTTTATTATGTTTTAATGTTTCACCTTTGTTTTTAAACAGCAAAAAATATAGCGTGTTAATAATTTATAATTTTGTTTCTTAATGATTTTTGTTTTCCAAATTGTTTTATTTGTATTTCTCGAAAACGAAGCAAGATATGAAAACAATTTAACAGATAAAAAAAGGATATTTTTAGTTGCTTAATCTGAAAAAAATATAAAAATTACCAGAAATTCAGTGGCGTATTATTTTTTGCCAATATTATTTGTTAAGGGGTCCCCTGAGGCGTCACTGGACTTAATAATTTTAATCTAGTTAGCGCTACACGAGCGTTTTATCACTATAATTATGATTACCAGAATTAAATGATCATCTGCTAAAGCATATTAAAAATATTTATAATTAAAGTACTCGTTAAAATTATTAAAAAAAAAACTTAACCCCAAATATCTCCTTTCATATTGGATTTATCAAAAATTTGTATGGGACATAATTTGATTAAAAATTAATTTAAAAGTTCCTGCCATCGAAAAAATTCTTTGCACAGTGGCGCCACCTACATCTTGTATTATTCAAACAAATTTTTTACACAGTTGTGAAGCCAATCATAGAGGCTAAAAACTGGCGTTTACAGAATTTAAATGTCACTTTTAGTTTTCGAAATAATTGGCCTGGGAGTTTTTATTGAAACACCCTGTATACAAAAATATTTTTATAATTTTCGGTATATTTAACTATAAACAAAACAACGTTAAATGTTTAAATAAAATTAGGTAATACCAAAATAATATTTTTTATAAAATATTTTTTTATTTTAAGGCAAAAATACAACACCCTGTATTAAATATACATTAAATAAGCAATGAACTTCATTCTTCACTTATTTTCACTTTATTAACAGTTAGGTATTATCAAGTATTGTTTTTTTAATCTCTTTTTAAATCACTGGCTATGAAATTTATGTGCATTCAATATAAATTGGCTACAAAGTTAATTAAATGGCGAATATTGCTACAAAAACAAATAAAACTAAATTATTTAAATCCTTATATATTTGAGGAGAAGTAATAAATCGTATTTATTTTAAATCAAATAGTATTTATTTTTTAAACTAGGTAGGTACCTTTATGTATGTTTTAAGTCTAACGGTTGTTTATAAAAGTAGAACAAATTATTTAAATTATTTCTTACGTAGTTTTAATTATTTTTGCATTTAATTGGGTTAAGTATATTTCGTTTTGGCATGCCCTTTATACAGGGTGTCCAGAAATTGGCACAAAAATTACAATTCTTCTATATTAAACAAAATTCAATAATTTTACATACCTCATCTAATCTTAAAAGTTCTTCAGCCGACATGGAACCCCTTTCACGTTTTTGCTTTTCTTTACGTTCCCTTTTTTCCTTTTTACGCTTTTCTTTTTCCTCCCGGTCGGAAACATTTCCGGAGCCGGCTTTTTTTATAAAATTAAACATTTTTGGGAATCTGAAACAAAACATTAAATTTTGTATTAAGTTTAGCGTTAAAGATGATAAATTTAATAATTTGGCATCAACGCAATTTAATATTAATTTAAAGTAAATGTCAAAAGAACGGTAAATATTTTATTAAATTGCTTTGATGCCAAATTGTTGTTTTTTTTTAAACAAATGCACTGTCATAAAATAGTAAGAAAGTTCAACAGGAAGCAAAAAACCTAAATGTAAAAAAAATTACTGGGTGGTTAAAAATTACGGCAATATACTAAGAAAGTTCAACAGAAAGCAATTTTTAATATATAAATGTAAAAAAAATTACTGGGTGGTTAAAAATTACGGCAATATACTTAAACCGTTGAGTGAAGAAGTATTCTTTAATCAATGCCTAAACCGTTGAGTGAAGAATCAATCAATGCTTAAACCACAAGGTACTTTGTTGCTTAAACCATTGCCACTCAACGCTTAAACTTGTGGACTTGCAGCAAATATAATCAATTTAAAGTGAACTTTAAATAAAGTTCGTTAATTGTATTTGAACTTTATTTTAAATTCATTATGAAATTGGCCGTTTCAGTTTGGATATTTAATACCAAGAGTTATTTTTGTATGATCTATGGTCTAGTTTCTATGACTTAAGGTAAAAAAACTAACACCAAATAGAAATAGTTTTGGTAGGTATATTTAGTAAAGTAACTTATTTTATCTAATCAACGAAAATCAACATAGGCAAGGTTAGTAATACCTTAAAAATCAATAATAACACCTAAAACCCAAAATATAAACACGAAAAATCTAACAAATCTATTTGCCCCAAAAACACACCTTTTTCACAGATTTTTTAATGGAAAAACACCCAGAAAACACCACCAATACACAAAAAACTCACAAAATAACAATCACATCCTTAAAATTACACAAAAACCAAAATAAACACTGAAAATCACGAAACGAAAATATCACGCAAATTTTGACAGTTCTCTTGGAACTTGACAATTCGACTGAGTCTCGATTGTTTTCGTCGGACGGGTCCTGCCCCTCACCGCGTTGCCAAGTCTACCGTCTGCAAAACTACAACAAAAATAACGAGTTTACTCAAATAAAATTAAATTTAATTACAGAACAAACATTAATATATCTAGTTTTAATAGCCAAATGCATATTATAGCGTTAAAAAGTATATAAACAAGTTATAATGATTAAACGGTTCAAAGGGGCAACGCCGCGGTAAAGTATTCCATAAATCATTTTAGATAAGCCCTCTTTGTTAATTGTATTAAATTATTTTTTTACGCGTTAAAAACTGTTTTGATGTACAAAATTTCAACAAAAAAAATATAACGAAATTTTAGTATAATTGCGTTTTATATCACAATTTTTGGCAAAACTGCAAATTGTGGTATCTTTTTCTGATATATGGAAACAGTCAAGGACGGAAGTGTATATTTTTGTGACGTTAACATAACCCAACTTATTTGCAAATGTCATATAAATGACTAAACAATAATATAAAGTGTTTTTACTGTGTTTAGACGTGATTTATGCCTAATAATGAAGTAATATTGTCTTATAATCAACATGGAGGTAAATAAATATATTTTATTTAGATATATCAATAAAAAATGTAGTTTTTTGTATCTAAACTTTGTATTGTTCAAATAGTTATAAAAATAAACTAATTGTATAACAACTATACATAAAATATTATAATATTATATACCTTGGAGGGGTGCGAATATTCAAATTTACGAATTATTAAAAACGAATCTTTAGATTTAAATTAAATATTAAGTAGGTATTTGAATAGCTATTTAAATAGTTCGAATTATTCAAGTTGTTCAATTCAAATTCTAATTTTTTAATAAGTAATAATTATATTCAATGTTTTGACAAAACAATTTTCAATCATGTGAATAGTTTAACTTATTGATTATTTTGACCATTTACTTATTGTTGGAAAATTTTAACTTTTCAAACTATTTAAATAATTTAAACTATTCAAACCATCCTTGGTTAAAATTTCACATAAGTCGAGACCCTGTTCAAACTGATAGATTTTTGTATCAGAATGTATGGTGTTTCTATAGGGTGTATCGGTATGAATAGGACCTATAGTTGGGATGTATGGTTCTTCTATAGAGATATCCTTCCTTGATTTATTTGCTATCGGTCTCAATAGGGAAAATACACATAAATGTAGAAGTTAGTTTTTCTTCCGGAGGTTTTAACAAAATTTTTTCAAATGTTTTATGGTTCCTCCATAGGGATATCCCTATATATCGTTTCTTGAGTTATTTGCTATCAGTCTCAATAGGGGAAATATATAAGATATGGTGTACCTATAGATAATTTCCTATACATTATCTATCGGGCCGTATCCGGATAAAGCATGTACAAATGCACATATTGAATCCGGTAGCGCCCGATAGGTTATTTTTTATAATAATAATAATAATATTTATTTCAAAGTAATGTTATACATTTAATACATATAAATTTACAACAATTAAAAGAAATAGGTATGTCACATTCAGCACTATTTAAACAAAAAAATTACAAAATAAATAATAAATTGATTAAATATAGTTGTGGCACATTCCTAGAAATATAATTCTAGCATTTGTACTAAAATCTTAACATTTTGAGTCTATTATTAATTGAAATCTCTTCCAAACCATTGGAAAGTAATAATTTCAAAGTGATCATAATAATTTGATCACCCAATATATATTATATATGTAGGTCTCTATGGGGTATTTTAAGCAAGGATTCATATTATTTAACCATTCGTATATTCAAATGATCTTTTATATTGTGTATGTGATTGTATGAGTATTATATTATATTGTTTTACTATTGTATTATAATGTATAGGTATAAGAGGATATCCCTATGTAGAATTTATTATCTTTTGGGATGAAATAAACGATTTTTTGATTTTGATTTTTTGATTTTTGATTTAAATATTTGATTATAAATTCATAGGGGTATGGCTGTTTATTTGTGTTTGTCCTATTGTGTAATAGTCCTTCGGAGGGGACTTTAAGTCCGCGGTCCGTTCCTACCCCTAACCCGCTCAAGCCATTCTGTTGGCTTTTGGGACTTCTTAGGAAGTAAGGGTGGAACTAAAAGAGCACTTTTGTATATAAAAATTTTTTTGTATATATATATTATATCTTATTATATATATTAAATATCACTATTTTGTTTGAACACTATTTGCACACCCATAATATATATAATATATTGTATATATAATATATATACATATTATGTTAATACAACTTAAGGGGGTGGACAGACCCAAAATCACAGTTAATTTCTAAGGGGTAATTCAGCACTATTTTTTAGAACATTTACAATACCACATATTGTCCCCCGAAAATCCATATATGGGATATATGGGTGGACCATGGGACTTCTCAATGCTTTATGGATACACTAACATCTTCAGTTACAGCTTTATTTATATTAATTTTTGGTACAATACAACTAGGAATTTACTGGAAGTATGGAAATGAAAATGTTAGACATCATCCACAAACCAAAATGTACAAGTTGCAAATATTTTTTATACTATTGTTTCCAATATTAGAGATTTTAAGATTTGTGCTACAAGCAACTTTGTTTCATGATAAAACAATTTATGGTTACATGGTGAGTTTTTACATTTTATATAACAACTAACTAAAAATATGTAAACAAAAATTTAAACAGCATTTTTGTTGGTTTTAACAAAATTAACTGTTAAACCATTTTACAATTTATGGTTATCATGTATATAAATATGTTACTTTAACAATTAGGGGACATCCATTAATTACGTGAGATAAAAATAGGGGGAAGGGGTCTGGCAAAATCTCACCAAATATCATGTTAAGGGAGGGGTGTCATTTAAAATCTCACGTCAACTTTTGTGTTTGAAGAATAGGTCAGCCATTCCACGCTACTCGGGAATTTTTGTAGCGTCCGTTACAATCAAAAATTGTGAGTAAAACTACCGTAATTATTAAGCTTATAAGTTTAAGCCTAATTATTAGAAGCATAATAAACATGTTTGCAATATTAACTAATTTAAACGGTATTTAAAGGGGGGTCCAAATTATCAGAAAAATGCCTCACGTAATTAATGGATGTCCCCTTAGCTGTTAAAATAAAAAAAAATTAACCCTGTTTGTTACTTTTTCGTTAATTATTGTCACCCATAATATAAGTGGAATGATTATCATTAACGATATTTTAGAATTAAAACTGATCTGCAAAGGACAACAAAATTTGTTGACATTTACCTAAATTCTGTTTGGTTAAAATATATATAATAATTTTAATGTCAAATAAAGAAAAGCGTCTAATTCCTTAAGCCCATATTATAGCCTGCAATTTTTCTTGCATGCAAGTTTTATTGCTGACTAATGTCTTTGCACCACACCACCCACATGATATTTTATTCAACTACACAAGGACTTAAAACCCAATTTTATTTGATATTTTATCCAACATCTTACAGCTGTCAAGCAATTTTAAGCACACTTTTTTCCAATTTTAATTTAAAGCCAGTGGCCATTTGGGTTTTGTCCTCGGATCAGGCCACTTGCTTATGCCAAACAGTTTGAAATATAAGTGACTTGTGACCCTGGAGGGACAAAATCGGAATCCCAGCACAAAAATAAGCTGGTAAATATACAAAATCTACACCAGATTGAGTAAGTTACAAGAAATTCCCACAACGGATGTTTAAAATATATATGGAAATAAGTCTGCACACAGCCATGGGCCTTGTGATGCATGGTTGAAATGAATAAAAAAAATGTTATATGGATGGAATAAAATAAAAATACTGATTGAACCCCTGATATATTTGAAGAAAAATAGAATTATTGATGAAAGAAGAAATTTATATGGATGTTTGTAAAAGGTGTAGTTGTTAGTAATATGTATGAGAATGGAATAAATGAATAAATCAAGAACAAATACATAAAGCAAGAATAATAGTGAAAATACTCATAGAAACAAGGAAAAGAAAAATTTAGACAATGCAAGATATTTAAATTTATGAGACGGAAAAATATTGAAAAAATATTGAAATAAACCATGAACAGTAAGAATATAGATAATAGATAAATTACTCAAGGGATTAGGGGTGTCAATCCCGAGCCCATTTTTCAATCCTGGGCCTTTCGGGACAAACTAATCCCGGGATCAGTCCCGAAAAAATATATATCATTAATTTTAAAACCAATTTAAAATAAAACAACAAACAAACTAACGAACGATATCTTTCGGACTTCACACTAGTCGGAAGAATGGAAGAATCCCGGGATCAGTCCCGAAAAAATATATATCATTAATTTTAAAACCAATTTAAAATAAAACAACAAACAAACTAACGAACGATATCTTTCGGACTTCACACTAGTCGGAAGAATGGTTTTCAAGAATTCGTTGTACCCCTATTAACAAATAATTCCATTTCTTTTATCAATCGGGCCTTGGCGAGTTCCAATTGGGGCTGTAACTTACATTGAAATTATCAAGTTTGTGACATTTTTTCATGTTTGACGTTTGAAATATGTTATATTATAGGTTATGTACATAAATTTATTCTACAGTGACCTGTATTTTACATTTTCTTTGCTGATTTTATTCTATAGATGAAACCACTCTTGCTATGTAATTTCAATTTATTTTCATTATTGTACGGCGGTGTATAATAATTTGACTTGAACTGAGTAAAAAAATGAAGTGTTTATATATATGCTTATGAGTATTATAATATGAAAAATGTCATACGCTTAAAAAAAAGTCTATTTTATTCTTTGTAACTTATTACCAAGATCCCGGGATTGGGACTTTTAATCCCGGGATTTTCGGGATCGGATTTTTTACGGGATCCTGGGATTGACACCCCTACAAGGGATGCGTTGAACTCAGATTCTTGATCATATTAATTTTTTTAAACATAATGAGCTGGCCAAATAGCTTTTAATTAAGCTAAAGGCCATTACCCCTGAACACAGTGCTTCTGTGTTCAGATTGAAGAAGAAGAAGAAAGCCAGTGGCCGATGTAAAATTTCACCAACTGGTTAAACTGGAAGTTAAATGAAAAATAATGGATATGGAATAAAAACTGTGGCATTTCATTGTTTCTAATATAAATAAATTGTGTGGTCAAAGTTATAATTGACAAGGTTTTTGCAATATTTAAACAATTTTGTTTTTTTTTATTTGTTATACCAAATAAAAACAACAAAAATTTTTAACCCTTTTAAATTATTTGTCATGCATAACGGGATATTTTTGCCATATTATTATCGTTATTTTAAGAAATTTAACCGTTTTAAGTACACATTTCATTGGTTATAATCGTTAAAATGGTAATATTTTGGTTAAAAATATGCTACTTTAACAATTAACTGGTCAATAACTCAAATTAACACGTTTGTCACAAAACTTTTAGGTAACCTTTTGGAGTGGTTTTACAAGAGTATCCGATAAAATTGACTCGTTAAAAGTCGATTATAACCGGTTAAAAATGCTATTAAAACAGGTTATAATCGGTTTCAAAAGGTATATAACCGGTTAAAAATAAAGTAAAACATTTTTTGTAGGTTCTATCTTTGTTTTTAATAATTTTCGCCTATCCATATAGTTTGTTTATATTAGCAATAGAAAGAAGGTTTTCTTTACCGAGTGTTCCTGCTAGAGGGCACGGTTTAGTTTTATTAATGTTTTGGACGATGACGTTTATTTTCGAAAACTTGGCTTTTTTGAATTTAGGACAGAAACAATGGTGGTTCAAGCTAAAAACGTAAGTTTTCTCTAATAAAAATTTATTTTTTTCAATCTTTTTTTCAGTTTAACAGATCAGATAGAGATGGCGCTGTTCGTATTAAGATATTTATGTTGCTTACTAATGTTTATATTAGGTTTAAAAGCACCTGGAATTAATCCAAATATTGATTATTTAAGTCTAGGTGAACCAAGGACCATTAATGTAAGTAATAGTAAGTAATATGTACCTAGTATGTATAAAAATTATGCAAAAAACATAAACATTTCTTAGACATTTTTTGAAAATAGTCTTGAAACAAAGCTCGGACATTATTTTAGTCGTCGTGTAATTTTTGTTAACTTCAGAGGACCCACGAAATTATTTGTGTTTAAAATATATGTGACACGATTCGAGAAAAGGGGCCCACTGATATGGCACGCCGTTTTACTTTTTAATCTCATGTTTATTAAAGCTTCAAATTAATTCAAGTTGCTTTTTTTAAAATTGACTGAACATTTTAAAGTAAAATTTTTATGATGTCTTGGTATATTAGGTACACAATTTTAAGCACAGAATAAGAATTAAAGGCGTTACTTGGAGAAATTATGTAAACCAAAATTTTAATTCATCGAATTTCTTAGCCAGTTAATTCGGGTGACATTCACAATATCGAAATTCATTATATCGAATTCAAAATATCGAACACTTTTTATCAAAAATCAAAATATCGAAAATACAAAATGTCGAAAATCAAAATATCGAAAATTCAAAATGTTGAAAATGATAATATCAAAAATTAAAATGTCGATTTGAAAATGTCGAATAATTAAAGGTAGTGTCTCCCCGACCGTCGGACGGACGTAAAAAAGTGAGTGCTCGACCGTCGGACGGACGTAGAAAGCGTCGCTAAATGTAGCAAAGTATTCCTCAAGGTTATGACGAATAGCTGTCATTTTGGTTATGCAGGTACACTGCATTGTGCCATACCAAACTAACCCAAACTTAACAACCCAACCCAACCGACCCCGCCCCATTGGGCCCCTCCCGCCCCATTGTTACAATCCAGCCTGCCCTTAGATATATTATACCTCTATTGCTCAATGGGGCGGGAGGGGTCCAATGGGGCGGGGTCGGTTGGGTTGGGTTGTTAAGTTTGGGTTGGTTTGGTATGGCAGTGTACCTGCATAACCAAGATGACAGCTATTCGTCATAACCTGTATGACAGCGGTCGAGATTTTATTTTCGATAAATTGAAAATTCGATTAAATAAAATTTCGATATTTTCATTTCGACATTTTGAATTTTCGATATTTTGATTTTCGACATTTTGTATTTTCGATATTTTGATTTTCGATAAAAAGTGTTCGATATTTTGAATTCGATATAATGAATTTCGATATTGTGAATGTCACCCGTTAATTCAAGGTGCGCAACATTTATTTAAGAAAAAGTAATACTGAAGTTATCATTATGTCGCAATTAATTTCTATTATTACTCGTCGACATAAAAATCAATTTACCCGTTAAAAATTAAAGTGATAAAGTTTCTTATTCGACACACAAATATTTTGCACGAAATATTTGTTTTAATATTTAAATGTTTTTAATATTACTTAAAATTTTACTTGACTAAGGGCCGGTTTATCAATCTCTAGTTAAGTTCCAGTTAGTCTATCTGACGGTTAAATTTCATATCAATCGTTGTGAGAACAATGGTATCCATGGAAATTATCTACCAGATAACTAACTGCAACTTTAACTGGACATTGATAAACCGGCCCTAATAAGAATTGAGTACAATTTTATTTTTATTATTATTTTTAAAAATTTTAATATTTACTTTTAATACGAATTATTTTGTTGTTTAAAACACTGAAACAATTTTTATACGGGAATAAAGTTGGGGTATAGTTGTTATTAATTATTATGTTATTTAAATCTAGCAATACGAATTTTCATTTAAGCACCTTTCTGCCATATTTCTTTTAATCAGGTTATTTTTTTAGATAATAAATTCAATTCTATTTGTATATGACAAAATAATAATTCCTTATTTTTATTTTTTGGAATAAATATTATGTACAGTTGTATTCAATAAAAAAGCGTACAAGAATTAGAATGAGAGAAAACTGTCAAAATAATATTATTGCTTAAAACCGGCTTATCACTGACATAAGTCATTAAAATAATTACTATAGGTTATAAAGAGCATTGACGTCGTAGGTTAATTAAATTATATTACAAAAATTATTACCTTTTAGAAAAAAAAAACAAACATTAAAAAAAAATTAATATATAGTCATGCATCCGTGTTTTTTTATTACTTGAGCCAATCTATTTGGGATGAACTGAATTAAATTTAATACAATATTTGGATTAATATCTTCCCAGCAGTATAGTAGGTATAGTATAGTAACAACTGTTGTATAGTTTCTCATAAATCCTTAGATATCCCAAAAAAGCAGCATCCTGTTCAGGGGTGGACATTTTGGGACGACCTGAACCAACTTTTTGGTTTAGTAAATCTTCCTTTTCCAAGCGTTGCTTAATTTTTTAAATAGATTTTTTATTTTTATTATACACGGTCCGAATTGACCATTCTTCTTCGATTCTTGATACTATTTAAGCCTTTTTAACTGACGAGGCATTTTTATTTTCTACTGTCAGTTTTAGTGACTTAAGACAGTGGAAAGCCCGTTTTACGCAATAATGTTGACAGTTTTCTCTCATTCTAATTCTTGTACGCTTTTTTAATGAATACAACTGTACCTCGAATTTTCTGACGGAAAAATTCGCTGAATTAAAATTTTGGTTGACAGAATTTTAATTTAGCGCTAGTGCATAGTGCGGTTATGTTACGTACTACTGCCACCAAGCGAAATCACATAACGTCGAAGGTACTATGCTCCACACCTCAAAGTCTCACCACGTGACCACATACGGAACGCATTCTTTTGAAAATTTGGCATTTAAGGCTTTTCAGGTTATGTATCTGTCAAGTAAAGTCAATGAAAGAAATAATATTTATAGTGTTAACGCTTATGTTTAAGAGTTAAAAGTTAATAAATCTTTATAGTATCACAATATATTGTTATAACAATGGTTGGTTTAAGAATTTAGGAATATAAATACTGCATTTAATGAAATTGTAAAGTGTATGGTGCCAAATAAGTGATATTTTTGTGCATTGGGTCTACATTTCTCCATAAAATAGTTTAAACTAAACCACATTTATTAAAAAAAAACTAACTTCTCTATTATGGAATAAGTATATCTGTATCAAAGGTAGGTTAATGTATTAGAACAAAAAATATCATCTAATTTTGTATTTTAAGGTTAGAAAAATCTATTTTGACCAAAATAAATAAGTGGATTATTTGGAAGAGTGTTTTAATATGGTGATAAATAAATATAGATATACTAAATAATTGTTGAATATGGTTCAAATGAAATTGAATCTTTTATACTTACTTCCAATTACAAAACTTGTGCATACCTCTCGGCATACCTACCTACCTTTAAGTTAGATTATAAGAAAACAAACAATTTTTAGAGAAACTTTCAATGTGATAATATTTAATACTCCCATGACATATGATTTATTAAAATTTTTAAAGTTATAATGATTTTTCGATGTAGATCAAATTCAGTTGAAGCTGGATTAAAAAAACAACCACATTTTTAAATTCAAAATACTTATTAATTTTGGTCAAAATAAATTTTCCTAACCTTAAAATTACAAAATTAGATGATATTTTTGTTATCCCTGTGACTAGAGGCACGCTAACGTGCCGCGATTCGAAATGTTAAAGGCACGTTAGTTACGTCATAAACCCAAACCATCCCAAACTCAACAACACAACCCAACCGACAGCATAGCATAGCATGCTCTTTCGAAGTCGATGGGATTGATTCTCGTGAAATCCTATTGCATAGACAACTATTAGTTACTAACCAAATAATGAACCACAATTAAATTGTCTATTAGGAAAATCTGAAATCCATATCTAAATTATTTCGTATAAAGTGAGGTTAGCCAACAGGGCAGTCTTGTTGAAATGCACCCCTTACATAATTTAATAATCATAATCATGTCGATATACATTATTGATAGCACTGAAAATTTTGGACTGCACTCTTGTCTAATTTATGTTCGAGCTTATATACCTTCGACGTTATATGATTTCGCTTGGTGGCAGTAGTACGTAACACAACCGCACTATGCACTAGCGCCAAATTAAAATTCTGTTTACGTGATAACCAACATTTTAATTCATCGAATTTTTCATCGAGAAAATTTGTCTTGCGCTTACAGATTTAAATCTTGGCTAATTTTTATTCCAAAATAAATATTCTACTTTAACTTAAATTTAAATTAATAAATAAAATGGTATTATTTAGATATAAACACCCTTTTTGAATAGAAATTATATAATAATTATCCCAATATCGCCATGATGGTTCTTGGACAACTAAAAATTAGAGAATTTGCTTGTTGTTAAAGTTGTAAAAGGTAATTTACCTAATTGGGCAACTTAAGTTATTAATGTTTGTTTTAGAAGCCAGTATAAAAATATTCCGCCTGACCGAAAACGTTTTTTGGCGAAATGCGGAGCTGAAAATAAGGGCGAAAATTAATTATGTTTTTTAAGTAGGTACCTACATAATGTATTATTTTTAATTTTACCAAAGATTGTTTTTAAAGTATAATTTATTTTAATAAAAAAAAGCGTAACTAATCCGTACAAGTTTAAACAAAACCTATACGTCCATATGAAAATGACATTTTTACTTCCTTTTAAAAACGTCCATTTAAAAACGCAATTTTTACGTCTCCTTATCCACGTAAAGGTTAGAGCCAATTCAAAGCCCAGGATCCGGACATAGGCACATCACAGCGCCGTACATACATATATTTTACAAGATTCTAATACGTCACAATACAACCTTTGACGTTTATTTTACATATAATTTATGTTTTTTTGCATAATGGGGACCTAGTATCCAAAATCAAGTTTTACAGGGGAAGCGATTACAGTTCACGCCTGTTTCAACAACAGACGTTTCAAAAGATCGTTAACCACTTTACTTAATAATAATTATTATTATAATTGATAATCTCTTAAATCAGTTTTTGGGCCCTAGGTCCCTTTTTTCGGATCGCGTTGCATATGTTTTTAAATTAACCGATGACACTCCAGAAACAGCCGAATATACCTATG